TAATAGAATATAAAAAAAAAAAACTTACATAAAACAAGAAAAACAAAGAAAAGTTGTAAAGTAGATCGCTCTGCTTTCTTTTGTTTTCTCTCTTTAATCTTTGAATGATTGGTGAAGAGTGTTTTCTGGGAACTTGCCTTAAGCTATAGCTAGAAACATACACAAAGATGTATCTATCTCAAAGCTCCTGATGTGAAGAGTGTTTGTTCTGTTTTTCTAATCCAAGTGAGCTGTTTTTCTTCTTCTTTTTCTGGTTTTTGCATGGGAATTGAAGAACATACTTTTTTATGGTGTGTGAGTTTTGTTTGGTTATCTTTTGTGATTGATGGAACTTTGGGTGGGTTGTGATGTGTAATGTATGTTGTGATAGGATTATCTAAATTTCTATCTTCTTTATCTTTTTTTCTTTTATTGCATTGATTTTGATTCTTTTTGTTTGTATGTCCATATCAGATTGGGTATAAGGAATTTGATTGAATGGACATGAACTTTTGTTCTGGTGGCCTCAGTTTTTCTGGGTTTCTTTTTTTCTTTTTTTTTTCTCTTTTTCATATATCTATATATCTAACTAAATCAGTCACCAGTCACCACAATGACAAATTCGCTTTAGAAAAAAATAAAATCTGACTTTTTTCTCCTTAGAAAAAAAAACTCTCAGACAACATTTTGATCTGTTTTTGTCTGAACTTGCAGACAGGAGATTTGTCGGAATTGCTTCTACAAGATTTGGTGTCTTAGAAGAAAGAAACACTTTTGAGCATTATGCAGGAGAGTTTCTGAAGATTTCAAGCTAATTACTATCATTAATCAGCTATGAAGTTTATGAAACTTGGATCTCGTCCTGACACTTTCTACACTTCAGAAGATTTAAGGTAAAATAGTAATTAAAAGTAGTTAAATCTTTAGCCATAAATGTTGAGTAAAAAGCTCAAAATTGTTTGCTTGTTGCAGATGTGTTTCTTCTGAAGTTTCCAGTGATTTTACTATTGAAGTGTCAGGAAGCAGATATCTTCTTCACAAGGTAATAATAACCCTTTCTTGTTCTTGTTCTTCGAGATTGGTTTTTTGGTTTAGAGTTTATTTGAATGGTCTTCTTCTTGTTCTGCAGTTTCCACTGCTCTCCAAATGCTTGAGGCTTCAGAGAATGTGCTCTGAATCTCCAGAATCCATTATCCAACTTCCTGAATTTCCAGGAGGAGTGGAGGCCTTTGAGCTCTGTGCCAAATTCTGCTACGGAATAACGATAACTATCAGCGCGTATAACATCGTAGCAGCGAGATGTGCAGCAGAGTATCTTCAGATGTCAGAGGAGGTTGAGAAAGGTAACTTGGTGTACAAGCTTGAAGTGTTCTTTAATTCTTGCATCCTTAATGGATGGAGAGACTCCATAGTCACTCTTCAGACCACGAAAGCGTTTCCTTTGTGGTCTGAAGATCTCGCTATCACCAGTAGGTGCATTGAGGCCATAGCCTCTAAGGTTTTGTCTCATCCATCCAAAGTGTCTCTCTCACATAGTTATTCTAGGAGGGTTAGGGATGATGACATGTCTTCTAACAGAGCCGCTGCTTCGAGCAGAGGATGGTGGGCTGAAGATATAGCGGAGTTGGGGATAGATCTTTATTGGAGGACTATGATTGCTATTAAATCCGGTGGCAAAGTACCAACAAGTCTTATCGGTGATGCCCTTAGAGTTTACGCTTCTAAATGGCTTCCTACTTTACAAAGAAACCGGAAAGTAGTCAAAAAGAAAGAGGATTCTGACTCAGATTCGGATACGGATACTTCATCAAAGCATAGGTTGTTGTTGGAATCCATTATAAGCTTGCTTCCAGCTGAGAAAGGCGCGGTTTCTTGCAGTTTCTTGCTTAAAATCTTGAAAGCAGCCAATATCTTAAACGCATCAACGTCATCCAAAATGGAATTAGCGAGAAGGGTAGCTCTTCAGCTAGAAGAAGCAACGGTCAGCGATTTGTTAATACCTCCAATGTCCTACAAATCCGAAATGTTATACGATGTGGACATTATCGCGACTATCTTGGAACAGTTTATGGTCCAAGGACAGACTAGTCCACCAACAAGCCCTCTAAGAGGTAAAAAGGGAATGATGGATAGAAGAAGAAGATCTCGTTCCGCCGAGAATATTGATCTTGAGTTCCAAGAAAGTAGGAGATCATCCTCTGCTTCTCATAGCTCAAAGCTTAAGGTAGCTAAGCTTGTGGATGGATATCTTCAACAGATTGCTAGAGATGTGAATTTACCGCTCTCAAAGTTTGTTACTTTAGCTGAGAGTGTCCCTGAATTTTCAAGACTTGATCATGATGATCTCTACAGAGCTATTGACATATATCTCAAGGTTCAATTCTCATCTTTGTATTAGACTAAACGAGTATTAATCTTTGCGACTTGTCTAATTTATGTTTTGACATTGTTGTTGTAGGCTCACAAGAATTTGAACAAATCAGAAAGGAAGAGAGTTTGTAGAGTATTGGACTGCAAGAAACTATCAATGGAAGCGTGTATGCACGCAGCGCAGAACGAGATGCTTCCACTAAGAGTAGTGGTCCAAGTCCTCTTCTATGAGCAAGCACGAGCCGCTGCAGCTACGAACAACAGTGAAGGCAAAATGACCGAACTGCCAAGCAACATCAAAGCACTCCTAGCCGCACACAACATCGACCCTTCTAATCCAAATGCAGCCGCTTACAGCACGACAACAAGTATCGCAGCACCGGAAGATCAATGGAGCGTCTCGGGTCTCAAATCACCTAAATCAAAGCTATCAGGGACACTAAGAAGCAAGCTAGCTGAAGATGAAGAGGTAGACGAGAGGTTCATGAACGGAGACGGAGGAAGAACTCCGTCTCGGTTTAAGGCTTTTTGTGCAATCCCTGGCCGTCCCAAGAAGATGTTTAGCAAGTTCTTGTCCATCAACAGAAATTCAAGTGACAAAAACTGTTAAACAAAATTGTTATTTAGGTATCTTAGAGTAAAAGAAAGAAAAATGTTTAAACCTATTTACTCTCTGTATAACTTCATTTAATCTCCAAGATGATGATAATAATATCGTTAAGAATCATATTTAGATTCATGAGACACGTGTTGAGGATCCAGAAGGTCAAAGAAAATGACTCTGAGGATTTGTTTTGTTAGAACTTTGATTATTCTAAAAATTTGTAAAGAGTAAAAGTCAAATCTTCTTCTCCGTCTCTGTTGGCTGCTACTGGTTTTGATTAGTATATTATCCCAATTTATTCCTTGCTATGATTGGTCGTAATCGATATAACCAACAAAAAAAGATATGTTCATTAATCACTAATCACTAGGGAAGAGTTTTACGTATCTATTCCTTCCGTTCTTTAATAAGTGATGTTTTAACTTTCTAATTTTGTTTTTAAATAGATGATGTTTTCAGTTTTCAATACAAAATTAATTATCTTTTATTGGTTTTGACGATTTATATTCTATAGATTGTTTTTGTATTGATTGATTAGATAATAAATGATGTTTTAGTTTAGAAATAAACAAAAATTAAATGATTTCTTAATCGATGTACATTCTTCTAAAACATCACTTATAAAAAAAGAGAAGGAGTATATATTTTACATTTTTTTTAAATTTGCATTTAATTTGTAGACATGATATCTTAACAAACTTGGATTTGATTTGCAATTAAGTTTACATATCATATCATTATTCCATTCTATAATAATGTCACCTATCACATGGTCTCTTTCTCACTAAACAAGTTAAACAAGTTTTCATGTTTTTTCTACTAACTTCCAATTATTTTTAACAACAATTCCTCACATCAAATCATTCTTGTATAAACAAATTTAATTTATAAATCTGACCTGCTCTGTCCCTATTTCACCTTGTTGAAACTTGACTTTTCTTGAAAAAAGTTTACTAAGTTTCAACAAATCATAAAAATAAAACAGATTCATTGGACATATGGTTATCTTTGGTAAAAACGTAGATATTAGGTCCAAAACTTCTGAATTGTATGAGAAAATATTAGTCTATTTTGGCATTTGATATAAATAATTAATTTACTAAACCAATACTAGATAATCAGCCTAAATTTACAAATTCGACTTCATTATATGGTGTTTACATTCCAAAAAAAAAAGTGAAAAAAATAGCACCGCCCAAATTAAAGAGACAACATGAGCTCTTCGTGAGAAAACTACTCCAACTGTTTTTAACTTTTTTACCAACCAGAATTATCTTTATATACATTACCTCTTCCACATTTTATAACACATCCATAATTGTTTCTCTCTCAATCAATAGATTATTTCTATTTCACTTTTTAAAAAACAAATTACAAGCATTTATAAAGTTGTTTGCGCTTTGTAGTCTTTTTTTTTTTTTTTTTGAAAGATGGAGTCATGACTCATGAATCATGAGTACTTTGATTGATTTGCCAATCTAGCACCAAACCATGTCTATTTTGTACATGTCTCCTCATTAATTTGATAATCTGCGATCTGCCCTTTGAGATGACTTAAGAGACCAAGATATACACAGTCAATAACCTTTTAATATATAGTTTGGGACCATGTTGAAAAAAGATTTTGATCTAATTAGATCTCTAAAATATATTTTTGACAACGATCTCTAAGATATTTTTAAAGGGATCACCTTTCATATTAATCGTATATATATATACAACTTCACTCTACTCATTAATCCTCGGATAAGCATTTATCTATTCAAGAGTAAGGTAACTAGCTAGTTTCTCCTGTCAACATGTTTTTAATTTATATATATAAAATCGGACCGTGTTTTCATATGAATCATTGTAATGCCATGAATTGATTAATGCGTTCACGGTCTCAATATATAATGAGACCTATGTCAAAACCAAAAAAAAATTAAAACCTCTTAGTAATTTTTTTTTTTAAAAATATTTTAGGTCTTTTTTCTTTAAAAAATTTTTTGAAACTAATATTGGACCCTTGATATTTGTCTACCTTGCCTAGAGGTAGAGACGGGCGTGACAATGCATATTGTTGGAAAATAAAAACCTGCTCCATATAATGATTCAAGTACAAGTTACAACAAACAATTGTAATGCCATGGATTCATCATAAATCTATTTAGAGCGCGGCACTAGGGGAATCCGCTGGCTTGGGTGGAGAATCCAATAGAGATGCAGCTTCCATACTCTTGGTACGTTGCAACGAAAGAGACCGGTGAATCCTACACCGGAAAGAACCAGGGTGAGTGGTTGGTGAGCAAAGGCAGTTGGTCTTGGTCATGCTTGTCTGACGGGATAGCCCACGGGAACCCACTTCCGCCACAGAATTGCCATCGCCAAGAATTTCAATCTTCATGATTCCTTTGTCGTTTGTCATTTGTTGCACCTTCTCCATGTCCTGGTTTCATTGAAAAGCCATGACCATTATTAAGAATTGAAGTTTTAGAAACCATTTACCGTTTCACTTAAAAATATATTTATATGGTATAGAACTAATAGAAGTGTTTTGATGGACGTTATGAATGCAATGTTGAACCTAGCAAGAATGGTGGCTACATCTCAAAATAACAACCAGATCATTAAAAGGTTAAAGCTACCGGCCATGATTGGAAATCCTAAATAATAATAATCTAAATGAAGAAATCGAAGTCTTACGTAGCAGCGGGAATCAAGAGTAATGGACATACCTCTGTATGGATGATCAAAGTTGAAGCTGAGGCGATCCAAAAGATGTTGATACACTTTTCTAAATCGCTCTTCGTGCACATTTATATTATATCGTCTACCTTTTTTTTTTTGGGATCATCACGGGAATGATGATGCACTACATCAAAAGCCAACTGTATCCTTTATTTTTTCCATAATGTTTCAACCATTCTTATCCCAAAAGCCCATCATTGAGTGGTCCCGTTCCTTTATTGTCTTTACCGTTGGTCGTGGTATTACGGGGTCGGATCATGAATCGTATCGGGCTATATATCGATCGATAGATTGAATTTTTATAAAATTTACGAGCTTTAGAACTAACATAAAGATTTGCAAAAATCCGTAAACAACTAAACCATGTGACCCAAACGAATTAGTTAACCTCGTTTTAATAAGTTTCCTAATTTCACACATGTTGAATATATATTTTATACTATCTAATTAAAGATCGATCAAACCTTCTCAAAAGTTGCTCTGCTGAAATTTGTTTAATCGTTTAACTACTTAAATATATATTTTATACTATCTAATTAAAGATCGATCAAACCTTCTCAAAAGTTGCTCTGCTGAAATTTGTTTATTACTTCCACAAATAAGTGATTTTTATAGTTTAATTGGTTTGTATTAGTATTATCATACGTTGTTTCATAACTTGAGAGAGAAGGAGATTGTTGTCCGCATGGACTACTCGGAAAAACTGTTTTTTTTTTTTTTTTTTTTTGGCATATAAAACTATATATATAGCTCTACTCTTATCTTTTAGTGAAAGAGTTTATGATCAATCTATAGACTTTTGGCCGTAATTGACACCCCTAAATATAAGATACAAAAGATGTGCTAGATTTCGTAATTTTAATTTTCTAGTGGTAATTGACTTGTGATTATATAAAATTCGTTGTAGCTGTTTGATAAGTCTTAGACATATAGAATTAGCACCTTCTAATTCTATAGGGCCAAAAACGTGGACAAGAACCGAGAAAACCAAAAAGACAACGTGTAAGCTTTTAATGCCAACAAAAGGAACACACGAGTGTCTAATCCTTTTGAATAACGATTAACGACGACTGATTAAAGGAAACGTTTCAAAAGGATATCCACTAGATTCTTCTATTTGACCAACGACTTGAGTCAGTCCACATGGCAGCCTTTTGGTCTCTAAACGTTCAAAAACCAACTCTTCTTGATCCAATTTCTACTAACAATCTTATTAAACAAAAGGTCAAATCTAAAGAAATACGTAAGCGACTCGTCACAAATGATTCAACGTTACCGACACGTAACCAAAACTCACCGAACACCGTCCTTCACGTTTGTTTATAAAACGAGATATAGATAAAGATAGAAAGAGTCGTCTCTTTGTATAAAATCTGAAAAACCACAAAACCCTTAATAGTTTATATTTAGAGTTGAGACTACTTCGGCGTTGCTCACCAACCTAACTTCGGTTCTACTTCATACAAAACTCGTGTCCTCCTCTCTTGTTATATAAGGGTCTCTTTTGTTTCAGTGTCTTTGGTCTCGTGTTTGTGTAGAGATGGAGAACAAGACAGATAATGGAAACGAGGATGGTCCAATAATACATACCCAAGTTGAGAAGATAAAGAAAGAGTTTGAGAAGATAAGGCAACCATCGCTGCAACAACCGGAGATGAGGAGGGTTCTTAGCGAGATCAAGAGGCGTCAACGTTCACGTTCTCCTCTTGGTTTAGGGGAGAGATCTATTTCCGTTGGGAATTGATCCATGTTTGACTTTGTAATCAAGAGAGATAGATAAAAAAAAAGGAGGTAGAGGTGGTTCCTAATAGTTCACAGGTTTTGTTGTATATATTTTGCTATGTAAATACTCTTTGGTTTGAATAGTAAAAATCTTTTTCACTTCTCTTTCGATCTACCTTACTATATATATGGCTTCCGTAGTTTACTTTAACTGGTTGCCTAAAGTCAGATTCGAAGATATGTATGAACTTCGACCCGCAACTTCTTTGATTTCAAATATCGAAAAATCGATTGAAGACACCAACCATGGTATGATGTATGAATCTCGATTTACATGACATGTATGTGAGAGAGATATTGTAACTACAACTGAATAAAAATCCATGAGACATAAAAGTTGGCAATAGAAGAATATAGGTTCGGTAACAAAGCACTTGGAGCCTATAAGTTTTCTTGTGTTGTTAAAGATGAACCAATTTGAAGCATTAGAGGATAAACTGGACTAAACTCTTTGTCCCCTCTCGATCTGATCTTCACTGCATAATCATCCAAAGTCGCTTTTATCCCTTTCCAGATCTGATCCTCTCTTTGGTTATCAAGCCACAGTGAGTACTGCTTAGGACTTAGTCTGTTCTTCTGCATTGGTGACTCCAACTCGTCCGGGCCTCTCGTGTAGAGATGATGGAGGACGATGCTCGGTGGTAGGTCCTGGATGAGAGGAGATGATCCCATTTGAGATGTTTCCAGGAAAATCAATGGCCTAAATGCTCTAAGAGCTCTGTACGGTGCTCCGAGTTGTTCCACGGGAAACAGATTTTGTCCCACTGCAAGTTCAAGCTCGGCCATGTCTTTAGCCATCCTGAGTTTTCCCCATTCTGAAAGCGGTCGCACAAGGGACGCATGTCTGATGTAGAAGATCAAAACCCTCGAAGCCATTTGTCTTGTGAGTCTAGTGCAGATCGATTCTGTCCCTGCAGTGTTAGCAGTTGCTGCGGAAGGCAATAGTCTAGATAGGAACTCGCTGCGGAAATGAAGAATCGATCTCTGCAACTCCTCCATGTATGAGGAAGCATTGTTGTCCATAGCAGCATCATCAACACCAAAGTTTTGATCATGGATTTGAAGAATGCATGACTCGAGCTTGTCTCGCATTGCTTTAAACAAAGGTGTAACTGGCTCACATGCGGCATCATAGATTGCAGCCAGATAAGGAGACAATACATCGGCAGCAATACTGGGAAGGTCTGCTACCATGGATGAGATATGTGTGTGGATTCCTTGCAAATGCTGACATAATGTGAAGTTCCTGATCTGTGTTGAAGTCGCAGGACCTGATATCTGCCGCGTCTCAGGGCCTGTAGAAATCTGCCATATAAGTGTAGCCGTGTTACATTTCAAACATAAAAGCATACGTAGCAGTCTAACTTCTTTCCACTGCTTAACCCCACTTATGTTCAGCTAGTTAACACGTGTATATTTGCATAGTATAGGTAGTTGTAGCTCTAGTTCTCTTCATTTCTGTCTGGAGGAAATTATAATTGCACGAATTATTACTTTGTACTCATTCTACCTTATACATCTGTATGCAACTTTAAGAATCTCTATATAATACACATTGTACACAAGCAGAAATTGATACCATACTCTAGGGAGTTTATGGAATCCATACTCAGGGAGCTATCGCAAATAACAAGAGGACAATGGATACCAATAACCACCAAAAAAACAAAAGAGAAAAGAGGTTTATCATACCTGGCACTCAGCTCGTTGAGCTAGGTTACTAAGGGCCTTGCCTATCTCACGCAAAACTAGAAGAGTCAAACGAGCATCTGGATGAACAGCCTCAATCTCATCTTGAATATGTGATAACACCTGTGAGATTTGTTCTTTCGAAGGTAAACTCCCACGGCTCGACATAGGGAATATCGAGTTCACAAGATCTGACAAGCGGCCAAAGCATAGGGATAAGAAAGCAGTTTGGAATATTGCAATGCATGCAACCATTTGTTCTTTCCTTTCTAAATTAATGGCAGGTAACACTCCTTTAACATCTGTATCACGAGAAATCCTTTCAAGAAGATTTTCTATCATAGACACAAGCTTTGGGTATCCCATGGTGAATATTTCTTTTACAAAACTCGAAGCTGTGTATGCAGACTTCATTTGGCTAGTAAACGCCTTGACAAGTGCATCCCAGACTCTGTCGGTTAACATAGAATCCCCTTCCTGTGCATACAAACACTTCATGTAAGCAATAAAACCAATTAAAAGTTGGAAACTAAACTAATCAATAGCCCTGACACCACAGAAACCCATTCCAAAACTTCCTTTTGATGCAAAAACATGGAATGATCATCTATTTAAGTTGATCAAACATCATCGAGCTAGCTAAAAGTGACAAGAGTCTTGTCATCCACATCCAAGACTACTCTTATCCTCTCAATTATCTAATGCAGCATACCCCTCAGGACATGGACAATATCTTTAACTAACGAATAAACAAACTCAGCGAGCCTGAAATTCCAGTAAAATTCCGCACCTTGATGACTTCGTCAAGAAGAAGGACATGAGTAAATGGATCCCTCTTCTTAGACAGTACACGCTGCAAATGCCACACAGCAACTACAAGTGAATACAATTGCTCCATACAACTAGCCATCCTCTGCCACAACGCCTCCCTAACTTTAGCACCGCCACCAATGTGCGGTGCTCCGCTAGACCTAATCCCACCAGGCCCGAAGCCACCACCTGAGCCAGAAGAAATAGCTTTCATATCCATAGCAACACTCACACTCTTCACAGCCATTCCCTTATACTTATTCACCAATTGATCCACCGTAGTCTTAAGCTCTCCAAGGTTATAGAAAACTTGCAACCCAGTCCCAACCTCAGCTTGATTCAACCCTTCCATGCCTCTCTCCAACACCTTCATAGCTTCAGACCTCAATTTCTCACCAATCTCAGTAACAAACTTGATTTCTTCGTCGATCACATCAATGCCGAAGAGATCGTACTCTTTACACATTGTTAAGATCTCGAAATGGAGCTGTGCAGCTTTGGTGAGATCGATCTTATCTGGATCGGGAGAATCCGTTAGATCTCGAAGCTTCTTAGAGAGACGAAGCGTACGAACCGAGTGAGAGAGTAACTCAGTAGCGGAGTGGAGATTTGATAGCTGAACAGATTTGGATCGGATCGATTTGATTGGTTCAGAGAGATCGGATCTGACACGGCGAATTGAAGATTGGAGTGAAGAGACGGAGGATCGGAGAGAAGAGAGAGAGACATCGGCGTGAGAGAGAGAAGAGAGCTGAGCGAGCAATTCAGGGTGACGAGAGATGACGTCATTACGGAGCTGTGAATCGAGGAGGCGGATAGCTTGGTGGAGACGTTCGGCGGTGGAAGCCGGAGATCCAGAAGCGAGAGCGGCGGAGGAGAATGATGCGGAGGAGAAGGAAGGAGAGAGGAAAGGGGAGAGGATTGGATCGGTGGCGAAAGAATCGAGCGGCGAAGAGGAGGAAGATGACGGTGTTTGAGGTGGTGGTACGGCGGAGGAGAGTGAAGAAGGAGGAGGGTTTTTGAAAGTGGAGAGACGTTGAAGAGATGGAGATGATGAAGGAGACGAAGGAGGTAGTGCCATTTTCAATTTCTTCTCTACAGGTTTTGAATTTTTTGCAATGGCGATTTTAGCAGATCAAAGCGATGATACTCATTTTTCAAAAAAACACTCTACGATAGTGAACCGGTGTCTGCTTAAATTTCTGTCTGTGAATTTTGTTGGTTATCGACGAACCGGAATTATCATTTCTGGGATAGTCAAGTGAATTGATTGATGTAGATGGGCCTAGGCCCGAATCCGGATCCAATGATAACAGAGTGTTTCCTTTGTCTTTGATGGGATCAACTTGAGGGAAGGAACAAGCTCGTGAGGGTTGGAGGATTCATCCAAGTGGCAATGACGGAAGTTAGAGCTTTGAGCCATGTGGTGCCTGACTTTGGGTGGCTACAAACGAGGAAGTCAATGGGTCGTGCTTGGAAGAAATCATATTTCTTAATCTTATTATTATTCTTGATGTTTCCAAAATTTATATTACTTGTGTTTAACCTTTGTATTGACTCTATAAGATCATAAGAACAATGTTAACATGTCATCCCCACGACTAAAGTTTAATAGTATAATAAGATTTTGGAAGGAAAACAATGTTTTCTTACTCAAACTAAGGAGACTTTAATTAGTCCGAACCTAAACAAACTAAGATTTTCATGTATCCCTGTCATACATGCATTCAATTAGATTCAATATTGGGATATTGAAACAGTTATAAATTTCATTTAATCAAACTCATTTACCTGTAAGATTCCATCTTTTACATTCACATTCATGAGTAGCCAAATCCACAATGTATTCATTTTCAAACTAATTTACCTAATACAAAGTCTTGCTGCTGTGTAGTGTATCACAATACTGCTTTGCCAACCTTGCCTTCTCCAATAATGCCATTGTGACTGGTGTAACAGGAGTTTCCAGCTTCTCTGCCTTTAGACACCTTCTAGAAACCCTTCTCATAGTCTGTCTTCTTATATCCTCCATCATGTTAATTATTGGCTTAGACCTTACCATCTTTATTGTTCTATTAAAACTCTCTGACAAATTGTTGTGCACATCAGCACAATGTGACTGAACATTAAAGAAGGCACGGCACCACCTTTCCAGCTTTGGTGCTAGTAAGGCTTAATAGGCTGAAAGATCATATGCCTTCAGTGTAGTTGTAAGCTACTCCCAAAAAAAGATTTTTGTATTATGATCTTGAGAATCATTGCTTCTTCCAATTAGCATATATATGCCTTCCACACATCCTATGCTTTGCATTTGCAAGTTCAGCCTCTATAGCAAGCACTAAACCCTGCCAAGTTCAACAATTAATAAACAACAAATAATGGTGAATTAAAGTCAAATTCTAGAGTAATATACCTTTTGCTTGACAAAAATGATTGCCAAATTGTCTCCATTCTCTACGCCAAGGTCTATTTCCAGCTTCTTAACAAACCAACCCCAAGTGTTTATTTTTACCTCTGAAAACTGCCCATGCAATTAGATACATCCTATTTTGTTAACACCGCTAATATTAAAATATTGATTTATCCGTAACTTCGTGTTATAGACCATTTTAATGATATTTTAAATCTATATTAATGTCGATTTAAACATGTCCCGCCATAACTCATCCTATGATATTTTAAATTTTTATAAAACCAAGAATGTGATAAACCTTTATATATGATTGTATTGATGTTTATTGGACTGTATTAGTAAATTTAGAGAGATTTCTATCTATATCTCTCCATGGTTAAGACTCGTTGACCTTTTCATCCCTAATATTAAACCCTATCGAAAAAGCCTCACATTGTTTGTGCATCACGACTATCACTTCTTAGGAGCCTTACGTTGACAGGCTAGATTAGCCACAAAACAATTGTGGTAACCAAAACATAATTATAACGGTAAGCAAAGTCACCGGTTCCGTTTTTTCTCAATCAAAGTATATTAGCGGTTATATTATGGTATACTTTGATATTGCCAACCCCTAATATTATTAGATATTTGCTTAAAATAATATTAGCCTAAAAGGAAAAAATTACAGTTAATTATTTCACTATCAAATTTTCATATATAAATTTAATTATTAAAACAATGTGATGAAAATTAAATATTTGACTCTTTGATTGATTGTATGTTTCCAAACTATCTCTAATATTCAAACCTCTGATATTTTTAGCTTTATACTTAAAATAATATTTAGTATTATAATGTTAACATAAAAGGAAAAAAATTATATTTAACTATTTCACTATCAAATTTTCATATATAAATTTAATTATTCAGTAAAAATTTGATGAAAAGTAAATATTTGAGTCAATTAAGTGTATGAATGTAGTATTTCTTAATCTATTTAGTGTCTCAACCAAGATATTTCTTCTCAACCAAAAAAAAATAAACTCTTAATTTATTTTTATATGCCCATGCTTCTGTTATTGGTTCATAACTTTGATGAGTCCAATTATTTTCATTGTCGCATATAATTGTAAAAGTATTGTACGAACGGATCATTTTATCCCACAATTATTGAGATGCTAAGATAAATTTTTGTATTAACATTATAAAAAAAAACATGAATCAAAATCATATATTTTGAGCTTTTGACAACGAGGACACACAATGACATTATTTAAAAAAAAAAAAAAAATCTTGTCTAATTGATAAAAACTTTTGGGAATAAAAAAGTGAGATAGAAGAAAGGCATCAAATGCTTTATTATTGGGATTCGCACTGTTTACTAAATTCCACGATCTGCCAACCATTTATTTAATTTATTTACTTTTTTCTACTAATTTTGTAGAAAATTCGAAACAATAATAAATAAAACAAAACCAAATGAATATGTTTCTTTAGTATAATCCCTCCCTTCAATTAGGAAGAGAATCTATTTTAAAATTCCCATTCTTACTTTACAGTCAAAATCTTTTTTCTCATTTCACATATAATATTCCTTTTGTCTTGGAAAATAATTAATCTTAGATTTCAATTTAAGTTTATCATCTTTAAATATCATTTTTCCATGATTATGGTGAAAAGTCATAAAGTAAATGTATTAATAATTTTTTCCATTATTTGTCTAAAAATCCTTCATTGGTTTTAGAGCTGACAAGGCTGCTTTGTCTAATATACAGAGGCGAAGACAGAAAAACAAAAGCAATTCCACAAACTCAAAAAAAAAAAAAAAAATCAAATTTTTGGTTTCTTCTTGAGAAATTAAACTTGGGTTTGTGAAGGTGAACAAGTTTCAAGCTTTATCCATGGCGTAAGATGATTCACCTTCTCAAAGTTTGTCTCTTTTTTCATATCTGATCACAAGAGGGTTTCGGGTTTGATTTCTGATTGTTAAAGTTTAAATATTTTTAGTTGAAATTTGGGTTTAGTGTTTGATTATGTGGATGGCTACTCAATCTAATTCTGGGTTCGAGTCTTTGAATTCTATGATGAGTCGTCACGCTATTAATTTCCAATCTAACACCTCCTCGGAGATGATTTCTATGAGTCCGTACTTGGAGATGAGTATGATCAATGTTGCTTCTCCTGGTTTAGTTCAAACCGGGAATTCTTCGAATGCTTCTGATTCGGTTTCTGGCCTCATGCTTGATCCTTCCATGGTTAGTGAATGGTCAAATGAAGAACAATACATATTGGATGATGGTCTTGAAAAGTGAGTCTTTTTGTTTCTGTGATAATGAGGCTGAGATAGTTTTTGTTATGTGGAATTTGATATGATTGATTCTGTTTTTGTAGATATAAGGATATACCAAGTATCGAGAGGTATATTCAAATTGGAAACAGTTTACCTGATAAAAGTGTTCGAGACATTGCTTTGCGGTGTATGTGGATGACGGTAAGTCTGATGGTTTTTGTAGCTTTGTTGTGACTTGTGACCATTTTGCAGTCATATGGTTATATGCTTATACCATGATATATGTGTATCAAAGAAAAATGACACACAGGGAACAGTTTCTACATGTACATATAATAGAGCATACATAGATTCTTAAACTACAGTACACAGAATGAAATGGTTTTGCCTTAGGATGGAATTTTAGTCTTATTGTTGCCTGAGTTGTATCAATATTGAGTTCTTGAGATGGGTTTAGGGAGAATAACAGTCTTTGAGTTTTGAGCAAAATCTTCTCTTCTCTTATCTTCTGAATCATTTCTTACTTTTACTGAATTTGTTTTGCACAGAGAAAGAGGAGAAAATCAGAAGAATTAAATTGTGGAAGAAGAACGAGTTCTAGCAAGGTATATTGGCGATTCTTGTCATTTGTTCAATTTTGATGAGTGATACTTTTGAACAACTATTGAAAGAGACTTTTTTTTTTTTTTTTTAAGTTAGATTGAAAGATGCTGCTAGGATTGAGATGGAATATCGTTTATATCTTTTGATAAATTTAGGTTTTGGTACTAAACGATTTATATTTCTTCAGGACAAGCAGGTGGAATCGTCTTCTAAGTCAAGCATTCCCTCTGTTTTGCCTCATAACATGGCTTCATATCCTTTCTCAGTGCCCTCTACAATCACCAGTAAACAAATTACATCTGAAGGTTAACATCTATCTTTATCTGAGAGATTTCCATCCGAATTTGCCAACTCTAGGTGTTTTCTTTCGTTGACATGCACACATTCATATCATATTTTGCTTTCAAAAGGAGGCAATAGGTTCTTATTGCTTGGTGTATGTATTATGGTTCAAATGTCGTTTTGGTATATATCTGGTCTTCTTTTGTTAGATAAATAAGATTTTATAGGGGCTTAGTGTATTACAGCTTAGACTTTTTGCCTCTTTGGAGGGTGACTAAGATAACTGTGTCTCTAAAGTAGTTTCATTTTCGAAGAATTGGTGAATTTCCCTAACTTCATTGTCCTTCTCTAGAGTGCATTCTTGAGAGTATTTATGTCATACATTTAGTAAAGGAGTATAATGACTATTGTATGATTTATACTTTATATGGTGAAATTCTATATAAGTCCGCTCTCTGATCTTGTTACCTTGTAAAGATAATCCCTTTAAGCTCTCTTTCATATGAAGTTTTGTTGAAGTCTCAATAATCTTTAGTCTTGCCTTTTCTTACAGATTCTTTTGTTGTTCTGTCTCAGATTTAAGTGGCCATGCAATAAATCTCTTAGAACAGAATGTACGAGCTTTTAGTCAAATTAGAGCTAATCTCTCCTCATATAAGGTAAGTTCTAGATTATCTTGTTTAAAGGAATACAAATGTGTTCTTGCTAAAACCGCTCCGTCCTGATAATTGCAAACAGGTAGAGGATAACGTAGATCTCTTTCGTCAGGCAAGGAACAACCTTATCACCATTCAAAATGAGTAAGTTGATACTTTTTAACATTTTGTATAAATTTTGTGGAGCTTAGAGAACTGATGTCTTAATTTGGCAGCATGAATAATATGCCTGGCTTGATGAACCAGATGCCACCATTGCCGGTCACAATCAATGATGATCTCTCGGTGAGTAATTCTACTTTAGTATTAATAGGTTGTTCACTTTTGCATTAACAGCCCATTGTTTTAGATATCAAAATGTCCACATCACCCATTTGCTTGTTTACTTTTGACACTACCGTAGTTCAAACCCAGATCTCTGGTTCAAAGGCTCAAAATATAGAATTATTGTGCTTCTAACTAGCTGAGTATCTTACGACCAGTTTTTCAATGTTTTGGTTTGAAGAAATGTCTTTTAAGAGCAAATAGAGCATAAGAATAATATCCTCCCAATAAATTAGAGTAGCTTTAGTCATTTTTCAGTGGATTTTGGTTAGGATCGTGTACCGGTGTTGTTAGTTTTACCTGATCTCTTTGGCGATATCAATGACTTTGGTTTCCTCGATTTGTACCAGGTGATGCCATTCAACACGATGCAAAGTGGCGGCTTCCATACGAAGCAGAAGCCTTGAATCATCTGGTTTCCCTTAATTACCTGTAAATTATCCTAAAGAAGCTGGAGGAGAAGAAAAAAAGCCCATCACATGTTGTGAAGTTTGTAGAAATGTGATTCTTTCGTAACACCAAGGATCTTTATTGCCGGGCGCCAATGTTGAAACAGGACATAATCGTCTTGGTCCAGGCTCCAAACTAAAAAAAAAAACTTCTTAACAAGTTCTATTAGATCAACTTTTAGTTCAATTAATGTCTTGGAGAATTTCTAAGCGATGTGTATAAAAAGATTCTATTGAAGATAGAGAAGAGCGTGTTGAGGTTTGCACCTGTAATCTTTTGGTGTGTTATTTTGGTAACATGTTTCCTTAGCACTAATCAACCTTTATTTTTCATAAGCGAACATCGAATGAAGTAAAACAATCCGAAACCTTCAATTTTGTATATACGAAACACAAATATTATAAACAAGAACAAGAAAAATGGCAAAGAATCCATGATGACTTCAGTTAATTGAAAGATAATGGGACCAAAGGACAAGCAGAGAGATACAGGAAACTCTACATCATCCAATTTAATCGGTTTTGAGAAGATGAAACATGATCTCCTCTAGATGGACCATCAAAGTTCAAGCTTCTTATGGTTCGATTATTGGTGCTGCTATTTTGTGGGTATGTAATCAAAGAAGAGTCTATGACTGGAGGAGTTTGGTAATAGGAAGGATGAGAGAGGTTGTCGCTGGAATCGAGTAACAAGAATGGAGAAGTAGAGGCAGTGGAAGCCAAGGCTGTTGCTCCGACCGGAAGTGGATGGTTATGTGTTCCTTCGTAGGTTGTTATCAGTATTGACATGTCTTCTAAACACCTTTGCACCTTCACAACACAACAACTCATAATTAACTCTATGTGCATTGCAAAATCTCATAATTAACTATATATACATAGTTTCATTTCACTCAAATGTAGTTATGACATGCTATGAATTCTACATTGGACAAAAGTAATATATACAGTACATAGACGAATCCACTCATTACCAATTGGTTTTGAGTTGAAAATCTATAAAATACTACATTGTCAATAACTTGATCTAAAATGGTCCCCCAACATATAGAATATATCTTTGAGACCCCTGGACTTTGAGGATATGTGCAATTGCACTTTTCACACATTGTACCTGTTTCCTAACGGGACATCCTAGAACCACGGTGCATCGGTAATAAGCTCGTGGACATGGATTCCCTTTCGCGGTTTTCTGACCGTACTTCCTCCATTGGCATCCATCATTCATCTACACACACACACACACAGATATCTTTCTTATTAAAAAATTATGTTGCAATATCCAAATTGAGTCCAAGATATGATATAAAGAAACTCACTGTTGCGGTCTCACATCTCGCCCTCACAGACACCCTGGCCTTTCTGTTCCCTTGAGAAGATGAAATGATACGTGGCGCGTTTGTATCGAAGCTGCTAATATTGTATCTTTGGTTATGATGAGACTGAACAGCTTCTTTGCTCTCTTCTTGTTTCTGCTTTTTCTGTAGAGAAAGTGAAAGCCCTATTTCTCTTTCCATGGATGGAGATCTCTCACCTCCTCTTTTCTGAACCTTACTTTTTATATCCACACATCGTTTGCCTTGTACTCCAAGGAACATTTCAAGATCCTAGGTTATAAAAACACCAATCAAGTTTCATGTTAATTGTCACCACTATGTAACATGTATGAAGACACCAGATTCTCTCACCATCTTCTTGGTTTTATCGATAACCGGGAATTTCATCTCCAGATGACGATAATCTTCAAGAGTCTGCTCGACAAGCTTCCTCAACCTAGTATTCTCTTCTTTCACACTTTCCATCTGGATCTGTAGCTGCAAGAGCTGATCTCCATCCATAGATGTTAACATATATTCGCACATAATTTTTTTTGATGTACATATGTATATAGTAGTTACCTCTTCACGTTCGTTTTCTTCTTCTCGGGTTCTTGAACCTAAACAAGAATCATCTTCGGCTTCTTTCACCATTTGTTCATCTTTATCACCACTAGCATCATGTTCTTCGTCTTCTTTATTCTCACGGCTATGTTTTGATCCTTCTATCTCTTTCTTTTTCTCCTTGGCCTCGAGCTTAAGAGAAAGATCGATGCCCATTAATGGAGATGCAAATCGAACTTCTATTTTTGTCTTTTAGCTTTGGAATTTGAAGTGCTAAAGTCAAATACCATTTTCTGATCAGAATACCGTTTACTATTTGTATTATTCACTCTAGTACGCATCTAAAGCTAGCTTTGACTTTGTTTAAATAATCAGTTTTATCTTTAAGAAGAAACTAATCCATGTTACTTAATAAAGAGCTTAGTTTTGGTCTATGAAGCAATTAAACCGGAGTTACTATGGAATTATGACTTTGGTTACCATCCTAGTAGTCATAAAAAAAGTGTATACATATATTCATTCCCTTCTCTTATATAGTTTGTTTATTAAGTTGACAATAAGATATAGATCCGGTTTCTTTAACAATTTTATAGCAGTTTTTTTAGTTTTGTAATTCCAATATATGGGCAGTATGCGAAATTTCCCATCACATGGATGGTACCATGTGAAATACAGAAGTCCATCGACGTGTGGATATTTTTAAAAACTTGTCACTGATGATGCGTTTAGAACTAGATGAATTGATCTCTTTGAACAAGAACATAGTTGGGTAGAGTTATAAAGATTGAATACGAATAAAGAAAAAAAAAAAGGTGAGATCAAACACACCATAAACTTTTTTATTTTCTCGACTCAACAACATAGGTCTTTAATGGATATACAGTCTATATATTTTGAATTTTCCTATTGAAGTTGTTTTGAAAATTTCTATAGATATTGTAAGACTAGAAATATTTATGGGAAAGAAATAGAAAGAATTAGGAAAATTAAATGCGACTTTACGAGCTTAATTATTTTTAACGAGCTTTTTATGTGCAACACTTTAGATAATTGTCAAAATATATTATGAAGGCTTTTTTATAAGGGAGACTCACAAAAATGCCCTTTTTTCAATACCCTTTTTCAAAAATGCCCCATTTGGCTGTCCATTTTTTAAAATACCCCTTTTTATGTACAAAATGACTAAATTACCCTTCTTTTAATAAAAGATATCACAAATATATAAGGAAATATAACAAAATTAGGTCCACAAAATACAAAATATTTTTTGGCGTGAAAAGTGATCCCGCAATTTTTCCCGCCAAAACACTTGTAAAAACTTGTAAAACCTTTAAAATACCTTGTAAAATTTTCCCGTAAAATTTTTTCCCGCCAAAAATTTTTTTTGAGGGAAAAGTGATTCAGCAATTTTTTTGGCGGGAAAAATTTACAAGGTGTTTTAAAGGTTTTTTACAGGGTATTTATAAGGTTTTACAATGTATTTTAAAAGGTTTTACAACGTATTTATAAGGTATTTATAAGATATTATAAGATTTTACAAGCTATTCTATAAGGTTTTACAAGTTTTTTATAAGGTTTTACAAGTTATAAATACCTTATAAAACCTTATAAGTACCTTGTAAAACCTTTTAAAATACACTGTAAAACCTTACAAAACACTTGTAAATACTCTGTAAAAACCTTAAAATACCCTGTAAAATTTTCCCGCCAAAAAAATTGTGGAATCACTTTTCCCGCAAAAAAAAATTTTTGGCGGGAAAAATTTTTACGGGAAAATTTTACAAGGTATTTTATAGGTTTTTACAAGTGTTTTGGCGGGAAAATTGCGGGATCACTTTTCCCGCCAAAAAATATTTTGTATTTTGTGGACCTAATTTTGTTTCAAATAAAGGTAAAATGGTCACTAAAAATTAAAAGAGGGCAAACTTAAAAATGAACTCTCAAAGAAAGCATTTTTGAAAAAGAGTATTGAAAAAGGGGCATTTTTAACAATTTCTCTTTTTATAATGCTGATATTGGATGGTGACTAAATTGTATATCTGCCATTTGACGATAAATAGAACATATATTGTTCAAAATAAATAAAAATAATAATTAGATTAGGTGTAAAATAAGAAAACTAGTTGATATCATTTTTTAATTCAAGATATTTTTAACTTACAAATATGCTAAGTCTAACTGAAATTGGTTGTAGACAACAGTAGTGATTCTCGTCTAACTTGTAGTACCTTTAGATTATGTTTTGTTATCTCATGTTATATCCAAACTCTCTTACAATATAAGATGCTTATGAAACAAACATTTTTCTAGGTTAGCTATAATACTATGTTACATATTCAACTTGGTAAAAGGAAGTTGAGTAATATAACAATTTAAATCTGGTTAAAAGATTATACAATTCATATCTATTTTGGTATGCAAGCAAATCGCCATAGTGTTGTGATTTTCTCACTTTGTTTGATTCACTGTTGTAATATCATGTTATATAATTTGATTTTTAATCTTAATTGATTTTACAATCAAACCATGGTAGAGAATTTAGATTGTATCTTATGATATAAGTTGTATCGTTTCGTTTGGTTGAACAATCTCACAAAATTTATAGATCTCAACGATTCATCTTCAACAGAAGGATAACTAATTTCAATTATCACACTAGTAATAGGCTACTAGCTAACCTAAAATATTCATGTTCTGATTTCTATGAACATACAGATTATGTTGATAGATTATGTGTGATATTGAAGCCCGGCTTGTTTGATTTTTATAAGCGTTATATATGAACTATTTAATCAATAAACTATTACATGTATATAAAAATAAGAAAGTCATGTCACTCTTTTTTCTTAATTTACTTAGTGCGTTTAAGAAGAAGTCTTTTTTTTTTTTTTTTGACATCTTTGGATCGACAAGGCCCGATCCATAGCCAATCCCTACTATACGGGATAACGCGACTTAGCGGAGTCGAACTCCGGTGGAGAAGGCGGAATCAAGTGCACTTAACCACTTGACTAAAGGCACATCCCCGTTTAAGAAGAAGTCTATATGTGACATCTTTATGCATTTCATTATCATTAACGTAAAATTCAAATTAGTAATTAATAATTCGTAACAAAAAGAATCTTCTCTGTTATCCTGTTGGGCCGGAGGATTAGAACTATTTACATACGGATCTAGTTGTCATTAAAGACTATTTGAAAAGTGCTCTAATCAACACAGATGGTCTCGTCATGGTGTTATGTATTCCAACATCTCAGACAGATAAACGAGAGGAGCAATGGAAAACTAGGTTGGTTTGGATTAGTGATCCATGCGAATATCTAGGTTATTTGTTTTTTTTTTGTATTTGAATCAATTCTAAATTATGAGATTTACATCTCAATTTGGTTTGGT